GGCAGCTGCGGCCCCGCCCGGCCGGGGGTCCCTGCGCAGCGTGTGGAGGGAGCGAGCGGGAGCCCGAACCGGGGCGAGACCGGCCGTGTGAGGCAGCGCTGCGCGCAGTTGGCTCCCAGTTAAGGCGTTTATCTGCTTTCTCGGCGTTTTCCAGGAAACGCCGCTGAGGAACAGCCCCAGCCCTCCCAACAGCACCGGGGGCACGATCGACAGCGATAGCTGGGATCCCCGCTTCAACGACATCCCCTCTTCCGTTTCCCTGCCCGCCAAGAACAGAAAGAACTTCAGTCAGCTTAAGCGAGCAAAACCGTACGGTTCCCTGTTCCAGCGGGCAAAACCCGGCAGCTTCCTGCCGGAGCGAAAGCAGATCGACAAGATCAGGAAGAAGAAAAAGCTGAAGAGGAGGGAAACGGAGGTGTCTGCAGAGGAGGACTACGAGGAGAAGCTGCTGGAGCTGGAGGCGGAGGACTCTTACGTGGAGACACCGATGAGCCCCTCGTCTGAGGGCGACCCTCAGTCTGCGGCCGAGCACTGCTCGGTGTGGGACTCTGACACGCCTTCCAGCGTCTCCTACCCCGCCGTGACGGCCGAGCAGACGGTGGAGATCCAGAGCGTGGGCAAACGAACGGTCATTCGGCAGGGCAAGCAGGTGGTCTTTCGGGATGAGGACGGCACTGGCGACGACGAGGACATCATGGTGGATTCGGGTAGGTGGCCTGCCAAAAGCGAATTAGCCAGGCAGAAGCAGCGGTGCTGTTGCCAGTCTTTTGGTGCTTCACTCGTAGCACGAGGGTAACGCTGAGGTGCGCTGCCTGGGCAGAATTAAGTAGCAGTTGGTTTTTTTGGGGGAAGGCGGGGGGGAGGTTGGGCTGCTTTTGCCATAAACTGAGTGAAAAGCTGCACCTTTACAGAAGCAGCCGTTTCTCCTCTCAGTGGATTACGGCCTCTTGTGTACTGCCAAGAGCCTCTTCCACGCAAGAGAGCCTGGTTTCTCTTGAGAGGTGGAAAAATCAGCAGAGTGCCCATCTTTGAAGGCCAGGTAGTTAATCTAGTGCGGAAGGAGAGTAAACTCCCAGTGCGGGTGAGCGGCGTCGGCAGTTAAAAACGTAGCTTGCTCGTTCTCTTTGCAGATGACGACTCGTGGGACCTGGTCACTTGCTTCTGCATGAAGCCTTTTGCTGGGCGGCCGATGATTGAGTGTAACGAGTGCCACACCTGGATCCACCTCTCCTGCGCCAAAATCCGCAAGTCGAACGTCCCAGAGGTCTACATATGCCAGAAGTGCCGGGACTCCAAGTTTGACATTCGCCGTTCGAACCGCTCCCGGACGGGCTCGCGCAGGCGCTTTCTGGACTAGGGGAGGGAGGCGCGTGCTGGAGCGCTGCTTGGGCAGGCGGGCGAGGTGCCGACGCCGGCCGGGAGGCCGGGGAGAGCTCCCCCGAACTGCTGCTGCTCAGGCTGACGGGCTGCCCGGGCGGCCTGCGCTGACAGGGACGAGGAATCGCCAAGTCGCGGGCAGCCGGGGCTGGAAGAGGCCGACTGGTCAAAACTGCTGCTAGATACCGATATTAGCTCAAGGGACGGACTACGATCTCTGGGTCCGGTGGGGTTTTGTCCGGTTGCAGCTATGAACTGGGTGATGTCTGGGGAATGTACAATACCTTTGCCACGTATGTTTTCTCATCCCACTGGGAAACTGCAAACCTTCTCTGTGCTAGGGAACTCCTCCTCCTCCAAAGAGGGAGGAGGAGGAGGAGGGAATCTGTGTGAAGAGTCTGAAAAGTAAATGGCTGTGTGTTTTAATTTTAATGTAATATTATACCTGCCCATTTGTCCGTATATGTCAATCTTAGATATTCTAAGGCTCCGTAGGAGTGAGCGGCAACAGATACCGACCTCTGCGTGATCTGCCGCCTCCTCCGCGGGCCTGGGCAGCAGGGGAGTTCTGTGATTTGGCATCGTTCACGTGAAAACAGGACTTCTTCCTGCGCCGAGGGACCGGCGCGTTTAAAAGAGGAGAGCAGCCCTTTTTCTGCACAGGCAGTGCGGGGGATTAGCGACATCCCATTTCTTCCTAGGTCTCCTCTTACGGTGATTTTTTGTGACTTTGTTTTGCATGATCGGCTCAAATGTGTGTATGGGGGTTACCGTTTGCTCTGTTTCCCGGCCCTTCGTTAAACTCTAAGGTGCTGTTTTAAGAAGACGATGACTCTCCCTTTTCTCAGCCCAGAATTCAAACGTGGACTGTCAAAGGGGCCGTAGTAAACTTAGAACCTGGCAGGTCTGGTTTGGGATTTGATCGTTTCCATCCGAGTACTACAGCTGAGTTGACTTTTGGTTTTGCTGTTTGTTTTTTTGAGACTGGATTTGTAATCCAAAAAATGGAATCTTTAACCTATTGGTTGCAAATTATACCGATAAAAGCAAATGCAGGCGATGCAGCTAGCAAGACGAAGTGCAATGAAGATCCAGCCGGTGCAGGGGAAGACAGGAGAGGGCCGAGGCCCCCGCCGATGCTGCGGTCCCTCCGTGGGACTTCCTGGGGCCTCAGCCCGAGGGAAATCTGTTCAGAAACGTTGATGGGGAGTCGAGGCTTTTACGCAAGGCCACCGAGATAGCGGCCTTGTTCCTCGATGATCAAACAGAGCGAGCCCTACGTATCGCACAGATTGGGCTTGCGTGTCGAGGTGTTTCTCTGAAGTTATGCGTCTGAGGAACAACGTTGTGCTCTGTCCGGTGAGACCATGAGGCAAGGGGAGTCGCTGGCCGGTGCCGCGGCCGAAGCGAGCCTAGTCATACTGGCAGGAACGTGTCCAGGCTAGTCCTGCAGATACAGCACGTTAGCCCACCGCCTTATCCGTGTACTGGCTCATCAGGAGACGCGTCCTGGTGATGACTGAGGGTCTTTCCCGTACACAGAGTCGGGTACCCTCCTTCAGATGTCCGACGTGGGGCTGCCAAAGCTTCCGGCAGGCCGTCCAGCACTGCAGCGCTCTGTGGCGTGTCACACCAGGGGTGTCCAGAGGTCTGCCGGCCCGAGTCAGGATGTGCAACTGTTCCTCAGTCCTGCTTCTTTATAAAAATGTTGTTCTGCCAAGCTGCAACAACTTACTCTGGGTTCTGAAAACCAGCTCCAGCTTCTGTAACATCTCAACACCATGACCGTGGTATGCTGCCTTCCAGAAGCTACGCAGGACCACTGAGGAGTTTGCCAAAGACTTGCCCCCGACGGCTGCCTGACTGTTCTTTGCAGCCAGAAAAATAACCAAAGTTCTTAACTGCTGCCATTTCATTCTGCAAACAGAAAGGCTCTGGAAGATCCCGGTTGCGAGCTGCGCGAGGGCTTGACCTGCTCTGAGAATTGGTATCTCTGCGTTCACAGCATGTCTGCAATTCAACTGGACCTCCGTGGAATGTGTTCCCGAAGCTTTTATGGGAGAAATGGCCAACTGCCACGCAAACAGCCTCTTTCACAGAGGCTCGGTACTAATCGATGTGACTGACTCTTGTTCTGTTACCTTTCAGATTTATCCCAATAGATGGTGTCTGACAAGTCCAGCACGTTACAGTATCAGCAGAGAGAAAAAAGCAACATCTCCATTCTTTTAGTTCATCACTTTCAGCCATGTATAATTATAGTTTAATTCAGAACTTTATTTTTTCATTAAAACTGTTTTAATGAACCATGTTTTTTTCTTAAATGTGAAACAGGTGAACAATGATTTTGTTTTATTCTGAACTCAGGAGTCTGCTGTTATGATTTACTGGTGTGGAAAGCCGTTGTGCCAGGTAGCAGCAGGACCTGACGCTTCAGGCGCTCCTCCCAGAACGATACACAAAGTCGGGTACGCATAGGAGTGCTGCAAACATTCTCTTCCATGTGCCGACAGGTATCCTCACCTCTCCTTGCAGCAGCCGCTCCTCGCCCAGCCTTCGCTGTGAGCAAGGTAAATTGTGGTGGAGCCCCATCGCTGGTGCAGGGACAAGCACGGGGCAGCGTGGAGCGACGGGAGGCGGGCGATGCCTGCTGCTGCAGGAGCCCGGGGGGGCTGAAGGCAGCCGGGACGCTGCCGTGGGCTCACTGACAGGGACCTGCCGAAAGGTGTGAAGCCTGGGGAGAGGACGGGTCAGGATGCCTACGGCATCGGCAGCATGTGGCCCTGGCAGGGCTCCTTCGTGAGAGCGCCTGAAGGCAGGCTTGGTGTGTAGAAGCCCAGCGTGAGGCAGGGCAAATCACGCCAGGTGACTGCTGGCCAAGGTGACCCCATACCTGCCCCACTCGCCTGAGAGCCAGGTCCCTGGAGAACCGGGCACCGCAGCCTCAGCAGACCTCAGGCCTGCATCTGCCTGGCAAAGACCGGCCGGCTCCACCAGACCCAAACCAGACCCCTTAAAACCCTCCGGGGGCTGTGCTGAAGGAGAGCTCCTTCCCTCCCACCCCTGCCCCACCGCAGGGCGGCACTGAGGACCCCAAACCACCACAGGGATGCTGGTGCCTTGGTGCCACCCCCAGCTCCTGTAGGTGCCACGACCTCGAAGGCACTGCTGCTCAGCCAGCTGCGTTCAGAACAGCAGCCTTAACACCGCGGTGAACTTAAAAGATGGCTCGACTCTTTGGATGTGGCACCGGATCATATTAGAAGCTAAGCTCTGGTTGCTTACAGCTTCTATTTTAATTGTATTTGTGATTTAGTATTATATAGAGTGATAAACAGAACTCCCAGAGGAGTTGTAGCTGTAAAATGGCAGCTTCTCACAGAGCAGAAATGGTGGCGTTGAAGGCAGCAGTTCCTCAGGTGGGGCTGTCAGACTCCACCGTGTGGTCACAACTCAGCAACGCTTGACAATTACAAACGCTGCAGGGAAGCAAAAATGGAGCTCACGCTTTAACTACTGCAGAAAAGAACCTGCAGCAGCAGCCTCATGGATGGGGAAGGGCACTCACAGTACTGGAAAGGAGGGGGAAAGCAAGGGTCTGAATCCCTGGTTCCTTGGTGGCCCCATCTGGCAGGAAAAAACAAGCTATATACTTTTCATGACGTTCAGCCAGGGAACGGGGCAAGGCCTGCGTTGGTATTGATCGTGAGGGATTTTACTTTAACAAGAATCGCAAATTCAGATGTTCGAAGTACAAAGTTAAGGCTCATCTGTCCCTTGCACAGACTTCTTTGCAATTAGAAAGAAAGAGAATTCCAAGGTGCCAGGGGAAGACAGCACAGAGGGGGAAGAGCCAGTGCTCTGACGAGAACGCAGCTGCGATTGAGAGGAAAGCACCCGCGGGACTCCAAGCCCTGGCCGGGTGGCTGAGCCACCTTCAGGTATGAACATGCTGGTCGAGTTGCACGGGAGGAGGCTTAGAGGGTTTTTACAGCAGAGCTGGTGCCTAGAGCTCTGGCTCCTTGTAGCTTTTCGGTGGCTGAGCCACCCTGGGATTGGGTTGTCAAAGGTGAGAGCATGCACAGCAAGACAAGGGAATACTCTAAAAAAGTAAATTCTAAACCTCTGTCTCCGCCTCAAGAATTTCCAGTTTACAGGCTCTGGCTGAAAAGACGAGCGTGTGTTTCCGGATCCTCACTAAGGTATTTAAAGCATTTGCTGGGTCAATTAGAGATGGATGTGTCACCTCACATTTCTATGGCATTTTAAAGTTTGCACCCAAAGATGCTGCCCTGCTACAGGTTTCAACTGCTGGGGTAGGAACAGCATGCTCTGCCCCTCAGAAACATTATTTTTCAAGTGTAGAAATACCACGGGATGCCTTGAAGTATGGAAGCGGTTTTTAGAATCGTGTCACTATTTCTCTACCTTTTAAAGTTGACTGTGCAAGAAAACACGTTCATGACAGCAGGAAATATCCTTGGGAGTGGTCAGAAAAGAGAAGAATTGTTTTATTGTGCAAACACTGCACAGTGTCCTTGCTCTGCTAGATACAGGGCTGCAGTAAGATTCTTCTTTGTAATTAGCAGCAAATGTGTTGTCACTATTTTGCACTTGCTTGTACAAAACTTCAATCCTCCGTACTCCTCCTGGGAGTATTTTGCCACGGCCCAGTCACTACAGACTGGCTCTCGCTCGTGACCATACACTCCATGCAGTGACAGCACATGAAAAAGGAATTTCTGGTGGCGGTTTCTGCCCAGTTACACACACAAGCGATCAACAGAGGTCAACAAGCAGGACGTGACAGAGGGTGCAGTTACATTTACAAAACCTGCAACCCTTGCTTTTCAGCAGGCTACTTTTCAGCTGAATATAATTTATTGCATATTTTACATTTAATTTCAGATCCACAGAACACTGGTCATAAGTGAAACAAAATCCCGCACCAGGAGGTGGTCACAGCTGAAGAGTTTTGGTTTTTATTCAAAACAAGTGAACATCCCTTCATGGTATGAACTTGTTTTTTTAAAGCGGGGGGGAAGCGTCTCTTTCAGACTGGCTCAAATAAGTCTGCTTCTGGAAATATAATTCTCCTGTTACAATGACTTGAGCAAAGAGAACCACCGTTGCACAGGCAGAGGGGCCAAGTACGTGTCAGGAAAAGATCTACGGTAGTAGTTAAGAGCAACAATGCACTGCCAAGATACCTTTCCCTCCTGTTTCTCACATGTAAGCTATGAAGGCTGTTCTAGGGCTCACCAAGAGCAGAGCTGTGACTGAGAAACAGCCACGATTATTCCTTTTCTCTATGAAGAAGCCTCGGTAGCGTTGACACACGCAGTGTGTGGTAGGTACTACAAGGCTGCCGTTTCCATCTGCTGTGTCACTTGAACAGGACTGCCCTTTTTGCTGGTAAATCACTGCCATGGCTTCCATGCAAGATTAATCCAATGGATTTATGTCATAACTGATGCTTTTTAGAAAGGGCAGCTGAATTTTACGTTTTCAGCTCTCTACCCATTTGGCTTCTCTCCTCACTTTGGTCTGGTTTACTTGTATGAACTACGTTCCTCTTTTTCCTAGAAATAAATTAGATGGGAAGAGACAGTCGCAGCATCAGAATCAAATTAAATGAGTTGCTGTCCTTCTTCCCCACTTGCTTTCCTCTTTTCTTGAAAACCTTGATAGTACATGATTCTAGACGGCAGAAAAATTAATAAGATCATTACACCCCGTGTCCTTGTCTGGAATAGCAGTGTTTGAAATGAGCAGCTGGATGGATTCATGCTGAAGGGGTCCATGTTACTACAAAAGGCAAAGAACTTAATTTCAAACATACTTGTTCTTAGCAAGTACATTTCAAATACAGATTTGAGATGGAAAACAATCTCTTGCCCTCTTTCCAACAAAAAGATTTACACAGAGGCATTCCAGCAGGTGGCCAGAGAACTAAACTTCCCCCCAGGAGCAGAAAAAGTTATGTTACCTACCCCAGAAGTACGTGGAGAAGCGAGAACAGCAGGTCATCTTCCCCGCTCAGTGCAAAAAGATATATATATATATATATGTGTGAGACTGCACAAATGGACTGTGGCCAAATCGCAGCAGGGAAGACATGGCTGCATGACGGGGGCTGCTCAGTGCCCACTCGCACACCCTCAGCAGAAAGCACTGCGCATTCAGAGTCACGTTGCTTTATTGGTTACTGAGCCACAATTCAGAGAAGTATTGCCTTGGAGCCACCTGTAGAAGCAGGTTCTCTCATTTTGTCTCCTAACATAACTGGTAGGACACCACCTGCTCTATGGATAGTAAAAATAAAAATGTCTCTGTTCAAACTTGTAGCATCTGGGGGAAGGTTGTGTAGTTTCCGTTGACCCAGGTGCCGTAACGGATGCGCACGCTCTCACCAGATTAGCCATCTGCATCGATTCTGTGAGCTGTCGGATGAGAACAATAAATGGATACCGGCCACTTCTGTCAGATGAGACACATCCTAGCTTGAGCTTACCGCTGTACCAGGGAGAGGCAGGAACACTTCTGGCTGCTAATTGAACACAATTCATACACACCTCCAAGGTACTTAAGGAAGCTTTGTAAGCTTCTTAAATTGGGCCAGGGAGCTGGACTAGAGTAACATGAGGTTTCTGCCCTTTAGCCATCTCCCCAGACCTACAGGGGTACCAGTACAACTTGTCACTAGCAGGTACCAGCTTCGCAAAATTATTCTGGCAGGGAAAATGTGTTGGCAGATAGATAAATGGGGGTGAGGAAGAAATCTACCTCAGCCCTCCACCTTGCCTTCATACATTCAATTCAGTCCTCAAAGGGCAATCCAATGCTGTGAATTGCCCAGCAGGGACACCAGCAGCTGTAGCAGGCCTCTGCTTCTAACTCCAGTTAGATACGTCAGGTTAGATGGTATAAACAGCTGCAGTGGTGCTGCTCTTTTAGGTCACATCCCAGAGGCATATCATGGTCAGTCCGTTTCAGTGACCCCAGAACCCCCATTCTGTGTGCTTCACCACACAGAGCTGAAGCAATCCTTCACGGGTTCCTGAAGGGAGAAGCAGGGTGGTCCTTGCTACTTACATTGCTTTGGTATCCTAAGGGCCTCGTTGTCAGCTGACATCACTTGGTGCAGAACTCCTCGGAACTGATAAAGCACTTTCAAACTCTTCTCTTCACCCACGCAGGGGTCGTAGAAACCTGGCAGCCCAGCCTTGAAACAGAGAAGGACAGACTGAGCATCAGGGAATGGACTTTCACAGCTCTTCAACTGACCAAAACCATTTATTAGTGCTAGAACAAGGTCTCACTTTAAAAAAAAAAAAAAAAAAAAAAAGCTTTGTTGCCAATGAGACGAGATGAGAAGCTCAGGACTCGCCTCCCCAGTGGCAAGATCTAACTACAGAAAAGAGCGAGTCAGGGGAGTGGGAAGTTTCTGGTGTACAGCCCCAGAGTCTGTAACATGCGCTGTCTCATGCTGCAAATACAGAGAGGCTGTTTCTTTGGTGCTGGAAATGCCCAGAGAAACAGAAGTCCTGGAGGTTCATAACACTTGGTATGTAAGCGGCTTCTGTAAATTCATCTAGAGTCTCTAGCTTCAAGCACACTGGAGAAATACCCTGGCAGGACAGCAGATGGTTCAACCGAAATTCTGAGTCACAGATTTGAGCTCTTGAGTCTGGGCTTTTACAGAGCAGCTACATACCTTGGACGCCTCTGTAAGGATGAGTTTAGAGTCTTTCACCAAGCACTGCAGGGGCACAGTCACATCTATTACTTTCACCTTCTCATTCTTCCTGCTGTTGTCATTAACAAACTTCCCATACCAGGCATTCACTACAATCAAACCTGCATTTCACATGAAAACACAGATGTGATGAACGGCTTCCCACCGACAGCTAGGCAGACACCAATGAAAAGACCATCCCAGCATTTTCTCTTGCTTTCAATGATATTTAAATTTTCCCTGCCTGGACCCCTGCTTCTCAAGACAGAAGAACATTTCTACTTAGGTGTAAACTGCAGACTGTAACTTTTGCAGCTACTTATAGACACACCTCTCTGTGAAGAGGTGAATCCACACTACTGTCTTCACCCTGTTGATCCACCTGACAGCACGTCCCAAGACAATATTCAGTGGATCTCTACTAAGCTCAGGCACCAGAAGGCGAATCATAATAGAACTTCCCCACAACACGCGCAACAGCAGCCACGCTGTGCTTCATTAAGGATGGAAATTAAGAAACCATACCTTGCATTTCCCCCCCCTCAACCACCCAGCCTTTGTATTGTTCCCTCCTCTTCAAATTTATGGAACAAGTAAGCAGGGTTGTAATCTTTACCCATTCTGGCTTCCTCTGCTTCAATTATCCTCCGGACAGACTCTTGCATTAACCGGACCTGTCAACACACAAGGGGCAGAGCAAAAAAGAAGCAGGGTCAGACACTGTGTCCAAAAGAGAAAAGCCCAGAGTGAAAACAGCTTCCTTTAATTGAGGGGGATTAGTTATGAGAAAGACTTACCGCAGCTTCAGCCTCCTGCTTCTTCTGAAGGATGTCGCTGGCTGTACTCTCCCTTTGCTTCTCCAGCTCTCTGGCATAAGGAAGTCAACATCCCATCAGGTCTACACCGTGGATGGGATTCAGCCACAAAGTGGCTGATGTCTACTTACCCACCCCAATTACAACTGACCCACCACCTCACACAAATGAGCTTGGTTTTAAGGTTCTTCCCACCTTTCAAGATATTTTTGTAGGCTTCCAGAATTCAGCAGTACCAAATAAATAGTGAACCACAGTGTCTCAGCTGGATATCCCAGCCTTTGCACCGGGCTCCCAGAAGCACTGGAGTGGGACTTCCCGGCTCTGCATTTAAAACACAGTCTTATGAGCTCACCTCTCCTTTTGTGCCCTGAGGTAGGGTTTGATGATTAGCCTATGCATGGCAAAGTAGATAACTAGAGGTCCCACGGTGGCATAGAATACAGCACTGGGAAGCAGCTGATCTGTCAGGTGGACAGGGAAGAAGTAGGTCTGACTAGCCCTATTCAACCTGGAAGAAAAAAAGAACAGTGACAGGTAAGAGGAAACGCAGGGGCTCAAAAAGGTGAAAATCTGATAAACTGAAACAAGACAATGGTAAGACACCACCCAGAGACAGACTTCTATGTAGCAGACATCTCTTGTGGTAGCACCTGGCCTTTCTAAAGTGTTTTTTTTAATCTTAGGAGAATTTATTTTGTCATTAATTCCACCAGGGAAAAGGACCAACATCACCATCAAGAGAAAAGAAAATGCTTGTAGAGAAGGTCTATTATCACAACACCAGCACGTGCCTTCAAGGAAGGAGTACGTTAATATTTTTCTGGCGCTTACAATAATATATATTTTAGAAAGCATTTGTTTTCTTGGGACAGAGGCCTTCACGGCTTTACAGCAGTTTCAGCATCCTGGCACTCCCTCTGCCGGCACCAGTTAAAAGTGCAGTACAGCCCACGAACCCCTAAAGGGTTCGGCCCCTCTTAGTGAACTGCATCTTATCAATAGTGTCATCTCCTCTGTTAATTAACGAATATTCGTTAATTCCAGTATATACTCGTGTACAGTGTTATAAAAACGAAATGCAATTAAATCCATTTCTACCAATAATGTTTTCAGAAATCTTCCATCCGCTTACTATAACGCTCCAAACCTTGCTTTAAGCTGTATTTTCAGAATATTTTGATGCAGGCACACACTAGTCCCGAAAGAGGTGGCTCAGGCTCAGAGTAACACCAGCAGAAGCCACACATACCTTCCGACGGACACCGCTCGTGTTAGAGGTGAGGGCGGCTGCAAGTTTTCACACTGATACATCAATATACCTGTATTGCCCTAAGACTGGGACCTTCCCACCTGAATATTGGAAATAGAATCATGCAGGTTACGGTCAGCCTCTGCAATCTAGAGTTGTAATCTCGAACTGACTTGATTTTCAAAGACACTCCTTGGGGAACACCAACACTGACGGTGGCTCCTAAAATGCTGTGCCTGGAAATCTTCCTCTCTGCTCCATACTCCACTATGGTCCCAAAGAAACCCGCCCTAGAACGACAGAACCAAAAACTGGTAAAACAGGGAGGACTCCTGAATTCCTCTTTACCGAATCCTTTAATTCCCCAACAAGTAAAACATGGAAACACATCTGTGTGCAGTGCATGTTGGCTACTGGAAGATTCACGGTGTTTCTACAAGGTGAAATAAGCCTTTTCAGCTTGTAAAGTAGTAAACTGACTACAAGAACTTCTGGCTTTCTTATTGGTGATGATACAGAGATATCACACATAGGTATTTTAAGTTCCACTTATCTGAAGAGGCATACAGAGCTAAGCCTCCAAGATGTTCACTTCAGCATTTACCAGATTTAATTAATGAAAAGCAGATTCCCAAAGACCATGGAAGCATTTGATTTGCATGGAACCTGGGGGCCGGCAGATTCTTCAGACCGTGAGCAAAATGAATTTCCTCTTGCACACTTACTTGAGAGAACCTTTCACTCGTGTTTGATCTTCATCCTGAAACTTATGCTGATAACTGACCATCATGAAAGAATGGGGGATTCCCAGCTGAAATACAAGAGGCACAAATGTATGAAAATGTACCCTCGGCCACCGCTGAACATTCCCCCACATTTCCTTTCTTATACTTTAAGTGGCACAGAAAACATAGCAGTGCTTGCCACTTACTCGTGCCACTGCAAACTCTGCAGTCTGTGTTGTGCATCCTGACCCTAACCTGAGCTGATCCACATTAGATGTGGCAACGCTGGGTGCAAGGTGTTGTACTCTGCCAAATGCAGCTGGTTACCTACGTTACATGTTCATATGAGACAGCACCAACTGCTCCATTATCCTCTAGTCCCAAGCCAAAATGCTGCTGGGATGGAAAAGTTGAGGCACTTCTCTCCCACAGGGTGGTACCACCATCTTCTGCGTACAGCAACAGGACTCTCACCTGTAACGCCATGGTGAAATGGCTGGTTTTTGTATCCCGGACAATGCTAGTGTTCATGGCTGACTGGATGCCCCACCGCCACTGTAAGTACCCCATCGTGTTCTTGTCGAGGTTGCGGGCTAGGACTGTGGTGAGGCCCGGGCGGATCCCACGGGACGAAAACTGCAGGGCACAGTTTGTAGTGATGAAACTAGGAGAAATAAGGAAAGCCTCATCAGTGATAAAACACAGGCTCACAGATGGCCTCAAATTCCTCCTTTCCCTGGAGCCTCCCTGAACATGCAGAGACTATCCTGCAAAGAGCATGACACCTGAGGGTTTCGGGAAAAACTCAAAACTAATTTAGACTGCACTGACCACAGCACAGCCCAGAAGAGCTGGGTTATGCCCTAGTTTAATGGTCTGGGCCACAACACTGCAGCCAGTGCAGCAGGCTACCTTTCAGCCTTTACCCTTCTTGCCCTAGGCAGATAAAGTCCTGGTCTTCCGCAGAGGCAGCACACCTGGCTGCTAGAAGATAGCAGCCCTGCTGTTTAATAATCCTCAACCCTCAGCTCCAAACCCCAGCATTAATGGACTCCACAGGGAACAAGAACCCTGTATAAGCTCTGAGCAATGGCGTATTTACTAAATTAGGAAATATAAAAAGAAGGAAGTCTACACTGGCACCTACAACGCTGTAACGGATGTCTTCAGTCACCACCCTTACCTTGTACTCTCCTTTGCAACTTGAGACCTCTATTCATTCGTAAACAGACACCACACTAGTGGCAAATTTGGCATTATTTCCCTAAAACATGACATATCATCCACACATGGAAGCCCCAGAAGCGTTCCCCAATTTTTTGTTCTGCTCCCAGAGCAAACTCCTGTCGCTCCAATTGTGAAATCATGCCTCAAGTATCATGAATTCATGACAAGATCAAATACAAATGTAAGGATGTGGAACACAGACCTTCCTTAAACTGGAAGTATGAACACAAAGGACACCAACACACAAAAAGGATACCAGCATTTTGATCAGTCCTAAAGGACGACCTTAAGTCTAAAGAAGAAATACCTTACTTTGTAGGATAGAAAACAAATCCAGAATTAACATGGAACAGAACTCAAACTGTTTAGGTCCTTAGTGTGGAATATTAACCATTAGACCGTTTTTCTAATATTTACCATCTTGGTGTAAGATTACGGAATATCTTCAGACCGAAGAGAGGTCCCTGGAGGTCTCCTGCTCCAAACTCCAACTGTTTAAATGCACAATGCCAGATTGTTAGAAGAAAACATCTTTTACAACAGTGGCAAAGTACTTCACAAGCGTCATTTACATCACAGACATTTTACACGTCTGAGTAACATTTACCACATATTTCAGCATCTTCTCTTCTCTGCTAGCTTTGCACTCGGAATATGAGGTGTCTCACTGAGTAGGGTCCTCATGAGTAAAACAAAGCCAGTTTCATAGTGCTACACGCTGCTGCTGCTGCTGCTGCTACTACTATTACTACTACTAGCACCTGCTCTGGTGAAAATGGAGAAAACACCTCCATCACAGCCCCACAACGGTGAACACCAAGGCTTGGCTGGTGCCCTCTGAGGACAGGAGTCCTTCCCAGGACAGCCTCACAGTAACGTTGTCAGCAGTTCTGCTGCTGCACCGTCTCAGCGTCTGCAAACTGTGCCTGCTGTTTCATCCGCTAGCCTGGGTGACTTCCAGAGCTGCTGTTCAACGTTTATTTGGTGCTGTTCAGTCTCATTAACAGAAGCAGTTCTTAGATCTGACGCTTTTCTTGACAAAACCTGCAAAAGCAGTTCATACTACCTCTGCGTCTCCCAAGTAAGTTTACTACATGGATTTTTAAAAACTTTTTTAGTCAACTGACTCATGACAATATCCACGAGCTCCTGTATTAGCAATATTACAAAATCCTGATGCAAATCAAATGCCTCTAGTCTATGAATTCTCAAACGAGAGGAAATCTCCTGTGTCTCACAAGCTGAGGAAACAGGTTAGCAGTATCTAGTGTGCAAAAAGGAAGGCGCAGAAAGCAGCCACCACCCATAGCAGTGATGCCATGAGCATCTCAAACAAAGCCACTGGTCTAGAGAGGCACAGCCTTCAGGTGGTAACAGGAGACCTTCCAGCTACTTAGATCGTATCTGCCTGGGAGCCAAACTATTTTCCTCCATAACGTCTTCCCTTGTGAGCAGAGCAGTTTCTGAAGCAAAGGCAAACTATCACGCTGCCCTAAGGCGCATGCTCACAGCCTCTGGAAGGCACCTGGGAGGCTTCAGGCAGTGAAATTAGAAAGGCCCTGGAGACAACAGGTAACAATTCCATCAGCATCAGTGAAGTCCAAAATGCACAGTCAAATGGAAAGGGGAAACAATTAAGAAAAAAGGTTTGGCCTTCCCTTTTTCTCAAATTCCTTTGAGAATTCTTTTTTCTACATTCTACAGAATGAGAGAAAATGAGAGAAGAAACAGAGCTACAGTTCCCTATAAACATTAGGTAACTAATCCAAGCAGCCTGAAATAGACTGGATATAAAGATGCCTAACAGCTAGTGCTCTTACCTCTCCCCATCCCTTGGCGGAAGTCACTCGTCTCAGAGCAAGATTAATCGATCCACCTCCATTCCCGTTCTGGGTGGAAAGGTTACCAGACAGTATTGCTGTGTCCGTGGCAGTCAACGGTGCCTGAAAAATGAATATATCGTTACCAATTACTCTGACCCCAATTCCCACATTTAATGCATGTTCTGCAAGGACATAATCGTGACTGCAGAGACTGTAAGTGCAGAGAGATGGGCAACGCTCCAGCTGACTCCTTGTCATCTGCTAAGCCCAGGTGTTTGAAGCAGACATGGCCACGCTTGCTCTAAATGTTGTAGTCAAGAAGTGAGGCAATTCTTACAGTACCAGACATTTGTGACACCTTTAACGTACCACCTTGAAGTCCTGACCCTGCATTGCAAACCCTTCTAATCTCGCTAGCAGACTAAATTTCTTCAGCTCTCTGGAACAGAGGAAACCCTCCCCCTTCTTTTCCTTACCCACATCCTCAAAACTGGACGCCGTTCGTTTTCATACACTAGATACTCCATGTCGAATGAGAACTAGATACCTGTTTTCAATCACGACTGAGCCTCCCTTCTGGCAGGAAGGCAGGACCACTCTAGCCTACAAATGCATGCTGTACAGTCAAGACGCAGTCCTGTTGGAACTGAGCCTCCGCTTCCCACCCACGCTGGTAATCGCATCCTTCTGTAAATCAAGACGAGGACCCCCTGAGCAGTGTTTCGTTTTCTGTTGCTTTGCACTGTAGTGCCTCATTAGCTCAGGCCCTGCTCCACACCGTCGGCGGCGTCTGCCCTCCTTACCTCAATGGACTGGGATATGTGCATTTTGTTTATCTCGATCTGGGGAAAGCTGCTCCCAGGCACATCTTCGTATTCTTCGTCATAACGATCAAAGAGGTCAGTGGCATCTATTCCAACACTAATTGTTCCCTGAGGAACGACAAGTGAAAGAAGTACTTAGCATTAATAAACATCCAACACACATAGGCCAAATGGCTAAAGCATCCTTGCATATGATTAGATTTTTTTTTGCAGTTTTTTCTTGTTCTGCAATTACCTTTTCCACTCTAAAATGCATTTCTGACACATTCAAGACAAACAAAACCAAACAATTACAATATTCTAAAACAGCAATATAAATCATAAAATAAACTGGATAAAAGACAGTTTCTCAGCA